CCCCCCCCCCTATAGGGCTATATAATGCTATTGTTGTGAAATAAACAAATGTAAGTTACAATTTTGACCCCCCGGGAAGGTCAAGCACCGCAAGGGGGTGGTGATACTATACTATACTTCGAGTGATCCCCACCATGACATTTCAATCATTTGTTTTCACGCCATGGTGAAGAGCATGTTGCGTCTCGTGGGTTTTGTGGTTTTCGATTTTGCTTGTGGGTCCTCGGGTTTTGGGCTTGTTTTAGGGAGTTCCAGTTGGCATCCAACCCTGCGACCACCCCCGCAGGCGCGTCACGTCAGCCGAGTGGTCCGGACTTCGAATGGAGGTTCTGAGGTCGCCTCCACCTCTTTAAGCCATGCACATGTTCTACCTTTTCGCCTCTTTTTCGCCACGGCCACCGCCCCAACCGCTGGAAACAACGCGGATGGGGTGGCGCGCGCGGGCAGCTGTTTGCCTCCAGCTCGATCAACTTGGGAGCTTCGTCAGGCACCAGGAAAGCGAAGTTGCTTCCATCGCTCCACACCTCGGTTGCTGGGTCCCGTCTCCGACGGAGGGACGAAGGATGGAGGGACGAAGGAAGGAGGATGGAGAGGCACCTAAGATGAGAAGGGGGATGAGGATGAGCTGGACATGGGCCAAGGATTGCTAGGCGGTGCAGGTTTATTCTCCGCTTATATTCTGTGGTCGGTCGGAGCAAGGGAAGCCGTACGATGTTTCGTTCCGATGGGATCTGGGAAAAAGCTGACCTGGACTGAGCACTGATTCACCAAAACTGACACCCATTTGGGGGTATCATCGCCTGCACCACATTCCAACAGGGTTGAATGCTCTGTGTGAGAGATGTGAGGGTGTTGCGTCACTTGCGTAGCTGGCTAAGGAAGATCGATTCAGCCAAGGCAACTGGATCCAAATTGTCGTCGATCACAGGCGTCTTCTTCCTGGGCACACCCATCGGCCGCTGACAATTATCGTTATAATTTTGAAGGCCACTTGGACTTCGCGTGTCATACGCTTTGACAGTTTTGTGGTAACAAATCTTTCACAGAGAGGTCTACATCTCGTTTCGGGCACAGCCCATTTAGCTTCGCTCCGATTCATGATCAAATGTGGCAAAGAAAGAGATGCCCACCCAAATCGCTCGATTCAACTGATCCAATATCAGCTCATTGGGCTCTGACTGAGTCTTTTTTCACTCCAAACATCGACCAAAAGACGAACTCCCCAGGAGTGAAATCGTTCGTTGTTTCCCTCGTTTCAAGAACAAAACGATTTGGGTCGGCTGCGACTCTTCTTTTGGACCAACGCAAGCGAGTCGACGTCGGACCGTCGGACTCCCCTCTCCAACCAGGCGTCTCTTCGGCGCCGAAGCGCACCACCACGTAGGGATCCGACTTGTTGCCGAAGAAGCTTCCAAAGTCCTGAGCTGGAGGAGGCGTGAGCTCGCTGCGTTGTGCAGGTCCAGACGGCTCGGACACCCTGCAGGGCGCTTCGGTGGCCGAGACGGACCCGATCTTTGGAGACCAAGACGGACAAGGCCGTGGTCTGGTCGCCGTCGTTTTTTGGGGGGAGAACGTTCCAGGTCACCTGGCGCCAGCTGACTGGCTGACTGGTCCCACCCTGTTCTTTGATTTAGGAAGATTTAGGATGTAGTTCGGATCAAGACAGCATAGACTTGATGGAGGTATACACTACTCGGTACTCTCCCAGAAAGCCGGGGGGCAGAAGTCGCCGCCAATCTTGCACGCAGAGGAGGGTGTTGAGATCTTGCGCAATGTGACAAAATACAGTATTCTTGAGGTAACGCATGATACGGTGAAATACTGCAAAAAGCCGTATGTGGATGTATGTGGTGAATTGTGCTGTGGAGAAGTGGTGTGTGGTGACTCTGACTGAATCGGGATAACTGAGAAATTCTGATCCTGTTCCTTAAATAATCCTGAATAGTACGAAACATGTCCTAAGTTACCCTGCTTCAACTCTGAGATCGACCAGGTCAAACGCACATTGATCACGGGCCCTTGAACATACTTGGCTAAACTCAGCATCAAGGCCATTCCCAAACCAGAAACCCACAAACACTATTGGGACGTTTTTCTTGCTTCTCAATGAGTTCCCTTTGGGGTTCCCTTGTTCCCCCAAGATCTAAAGATCTAATCCCAGGGGCCATGTTTCTCAAGGCATGTGCACGCTGCACTCTCACATGAAGCTTGGGTTTTTCCACCTTTGGAGAGTCTGGAGAAGGCTCCACCGCGCTCCTGAGCATCAATGACCAGTTCGCGACAGCCGGTTTCGTAAAACACCAAAGTGTATGGCTCTGGATCAAAACCGGAAAGGTGGTTTTTATGGCATGTTTATATGAAGACCCCAAACAATGGGTAGAATGGGCCAATTTCCCTTCTTCCAGATCTCCCTATTTCAACACACAACCATATTGTGTCGTTGTCAGGGAACCATTGACCCAGGTCTCCGTCGGAAAGGAACACCCCAGCTGCCCCGAAAACCAAACAACCACTCTTTCTCATTTCGTCTCGATGTAGTCTCCGTCAGAAAAAAGGAAATGGCATTGCGAGACAGCCAGGGATGCATTGAAAAATGACCAAGTGGAATGACATGAAAAAAACGTGACCAAAGCGCCATATAGAGGGGGCAAGTCTCTGAGTTCCCCCCACGACTGTGATCAAACGCGAGCCCCCCAAAAAGGAAAAACTAGGGTCTGTTTGATCCATCAGACGCCCCATTTGGATGTTCGAACCTCTCTCTCACGGGGGCTGTTTTTGTTTTATCCCTCAAACCGTCTAAAACGACCCCTTCCTCCTTCCGCCTTTGGAGCTCCGAAGGTCGTTGCTCCGCTCGGCGCAAACACGCTGGGCACGTCGCTCTTCAGTACTTGCGGCTCCCGCGGCAGCGTGCGGCCCAGGAGCGCCGGCGCCGGCGGCTCTGGAGCAGCTGGAGCAGCTGCAGGAGGCGGTCCTGGAGGCGGGCGCCGCTGTGCAGCAGCTCAGTAGTGTTGATGGAGGAACGCACCAGGTGGAACAGAAATACCGTGGTGTTTGTCATTTTCAAGCTGAAGAGATGATGATGATGATGATGATGATGATGATAAGGGCCATGAGCGGCTCAACCCCCATTGCCCACGTTGCCGCGGGGGAAGTGCGGAAACGTCCTTCTGCTCATGAGCAACTCTAAGTTGACCGCGGTGCTGGTCGTCGCTCTCGATTACCGGTCCTTTGATCCCCATCAACCAGGACCCCGAGAACTAGATCTCTACCCCCAGAAGCTCATTGACTACCTCCTCAGGTTCTGCCTCCTGTTCCTCGAGACCGTGGCTGCCATCCTCTTCTGGCTCCACCGGAAGAACAACCTCTACACGAACAGCTCCTCAAGCACCTGGCAACGATCAAGCTCATAGCCTTAAAGGACGCTCACCGGGGTCCCAAGTCCCCGGCCAGGGTTGGAAGAGGCCTCTTGGTTCCGTGCATTGCAGGACTCTTCATGGCCTACTACACGAACAACATGAGCACATGGAATTCTTTGACTCCACCCTGGTGGCCCGAGGGTTCTGGGTCTGCCACGAGACCCAGTGGAGCCGACACTTCACAGGCTCTTCAAGCCCTCTTCAAGGCGAAGCCGAGTGGCCCACAACCTCAATCAATACATCTGGACGGGACAACGCCTCATTCTAAGGAGGCATTCTCTCTTCATGCACATCAATGGGCAAATCTCCATGGACCATGCTGGGGCAGATGCCAACCTATCTCAACCGCCATCCACCTCCATGACACGCCTGCTTACATGGCTACTTCCTTGGAGGCCTACCAAGTGCTTGCCAACCGTTCCACAGCATTGGTCTGAATGAAGATCATAGCTGTCCATGCCTGAGACAGTTTGCCATGCTCCACATGGCACTTCGAGCCCATCAAAGGGCGGAAGCAAAAACTTCCACTTTGGCCCGACTCCTCGACAAGAACTTCAGTTGAGGGAAGGCCCTACGGGGCACAGGTGGGACCAAAACGGTCCACGCAGTCATCGACCGATGAGCGTATGAAAGAAAAGATGATGATGATGATGATGATGATGATGATGATGATGACGATGATGATGACGATGATGATGATGACGATGATGATGATGATGATTAGGCAGTATAGGGTTTCTCAAATTTGTTCCTTCCAACTGCAGGAACACAAACATTCCTGAACCAGACCCACCAGCCAACGAAGAGAATCCGTCAGAAATGCTCCATGGCGATGTGCCAAAGGCTTTTCTTTTTGATCCTCTTTGACCAGCATCAGCGGTGCTTCCAACTGGCCCCCGAAGCTGCTGCAAAAGGCTTCGGCCTGATTTGGCCCCAATGGTGGCTCCAAAGGTAGCCCATGTTCGGTCGGTTCACCGACGGGTGAAAGATGGTGAAACCAATTCCACTCCCAGTAGGCTTACGATTGAGAGTGATTGCCATGGAGCCACTCTGAATCGTTGTACGAGCGGCGCCACTCTCGAAACGAACACCCCACTCCTGAATGCATCAAACCTTGATGCACTTGCTGGTGCACTGGCACGCACAGGACCATCTTCTCGCTTCCTTGCGAAGGCAAAAGGTTTCGTCTGGACTCCAGGCCACTAATATAAAACGCTCCTTTTTGCGAAGCCAAGAGCTCCGAGCCTCATTTCTTGATGCTGTCCCAGATGTTTTGGGAGTTATGTTTTTCATTATTTTCAAGGAATTGTGGGTGTTGCAACCCCGCGGCCCCAGAGAAAACGGAGCTCCCTAGGCCCACCCTAGGCCTGGCTTGGCTATAGGTTCGAAAGAAGCCTTGTTGTTGCCTCCCAAACAATCCCATTCACTGACTCCCGAACCGGAGATCCCTGGAAAACAAACAGTTACGTTGTCAGTGGGAAACCAATTAGACCATCCACTTTTCCTGGGTAGGCTTTTTTGATGGAAGAAGAGGACAGAAGCGCGGCCCAAACCTTGACCAGGCCAGATCCAGCGATCATGCCAATGATCTGTGTGAGCTTCGTGCCACTTAAATTTAAAGAAAGACAGGAGCTGGGCCCAAAGAGTTACTATTCTTGCAAACTCTCTCCGGAACTGCAATGAGCGCGTTGGGGGGCAGCCGTGCAGCCGCGTGCAGCCGTGCAGCCACTTCATCGAAAACATCCGGGCTCCAAAAAAAGACTGACTATATGATCGACAAACAAGTTTGCTTCTTCATGTGATCCATTTTTCTACTGACTTGTGCAAAAGTTCCATAAACGCTTTGGAAGTGACTCGTGCAACGTGTCCAAGACCAGCCTTTGATTCCACCTACCACGTCAAATAAACAAGTGCTGCTCCATACAACCTAATTAAGCCATTTGCACAGACGAACAAAACAAAACTACGGATCGCTACAGCACGGTTATCAGTAGACCGTAGACCTGCTAAAACGTCGCATGGAACCCGAACATCCACTTGGATCATTTGCCGAGGACAACACTTAGGATCTGTGAACATCGTGAACATTGACCAAACTTTGAAGTGTTCGATGGATAAGCCACCCGTGTCGGACCTATTCCCTCGCTCACCCTCAAAGCCTTTCTCTGATAGCAAAAGGGTTGCCTAGTCCTGTCCTTCTCCGCGCTTTTCCTCACTTTGGGACCGACCTCTCCGGCGGTCGCCCCGTCCGCGCCGGCGTGGACGGCGCGTACGGCGGACGGCCTGAGGCAAAGGGCCACCAGCCCGAGCGCAGCACCGGCTTCCCGTCGAAGGCCCAACCGCGGCCGTCGCGCAGCCGCAGGTAGGTGACCTGCGCAGCCGGCCGAGGCATCGTGCGCGCTGTGAGCTTCGACCTTGGGGATTGAAACAGGGAGAAGAGAAGTTCTAAGCCGTTCGCACTGAACCATCTTTCGATCATCAGTCTTGTGTTGTGTCTGAGGAAGAGTATTTCGGGGAGAGTGTTCCGGACCTTGTCTGTATGACGAGTCTGAGGAACCATCAAGGGGAGAGTCTTTCGGCATCAGAACAATTTGTCAATGACTCGTCATGACTCGCGCCGAATTTGAAGGGCGAGCCGGATGAGTCCGGAGCTTGTCGAGTCTTGTGCACGAGACAAACCGTCTAAAACCAGGACCACACAGAAACCAGTGAAATCATATTCATATCAATCTGGTTGTTTCCTACTGGGGATGTGACCAACCACTCCCCCAGTTTCCTCCGTTTCGTCCGGCCCAACGGTCCCATCAGGTGATCTGGTCCCATCAGGTGATCCGTCATGTCCACTCTCCAAGATTGGTTCCCTGTTCCAGCACCGAAACCAACAGGTCTCCTGTGAAGGCTTGGTGGTTCGACTTATTCACGTCGCAGGTGGTGACCTGTTGGAAGGTCCTGGTTTATGCGATCACAGGTGGAAAATTACTATACAGTTATACATTGTTGCTCCTTCTTCGCTCCTGTCAGAGGGAATGTCGAACCTGGGGGTTTCTCCCTGACCGGACGAGAGGACCATCGCCACCTCCACTCCTCGTCCTCACCTCACCTCACCTTGCCGCATCGGCCGCATCAGCCGCCCAGAGTTACTCACGGCCTCGTCATGAAAGGATTTCTCCGCCACCTCGAAGCGGTCGCCTGGAGCCTGAGGAAGCGGGGACGGCACCCCACGCGGTTTCTTCGTTCCTTCGGCGAGGCCCAAAGCAGTTTGGGGAGGGGTCCGGTTCCACGTGACCTGCGGAGCTCAGTTTGAGTGAGTTCAGCTCAAAAGAAGTTTCAGGAGTGAACAGCAAGTCCTCATATGACTGGTCCAATGGATTCACCACTCCACTCCCATCGTCTCGAGATCAACTCCAAGGTGCCAAGACATGACCTGTGTGGGCTGCATCCAGATGTGGTGCCACCCTCAAGTTCAGTGGTTGGCCATCGGAAGGCATAAAGCTCCAAAGCTCCTTGCGCAGCACGACGGCGACAAACCCAGACCCTTCTTCGACGGTGGAGCGCCCGCCTGTCACACCGAAGGATGCCCTGCTTGGGTGCGGGTCAGTTGAAAGGACTCTCCCATTTTAGACGATTTCAAGCGTTTGTTGGAGAGTGTCTCCATGTGCCAGTCGTCTTCCCCCAAACAGGTTGACAGCTGTTGGGACCTATCGACTACACCTCGTCTCATGTCGCCCTTGCCCGGTACATACATGGCTCAAGGTCTTCCTGGACCCGAAAAGTAAATTGAAACTGCATGCTGAATTCGAACTCTTCGCTCTTCCACCAAGTTTCTATACTTGAGTATGGAGAGGTGTATACTAACTATGCCCAACATGACGCAAAAAGAAGCTGGGATCTTCACTCCATCTCCGATGACCCCCCCAAAAAATATTTCCGCCCAGGAACCGTAGGCCCTTTGTGCTTGAAGTGCGCGATAGCACGCTCCTCCTCCAAAACCCGGCCACGCCGCCGCGCCGACGAAAGCGGCCAGACTCGGTCGACGAGCCGACGCCGAAAGCCGGCCGACGATCTGCGACGGGCCATGTGGTGCAGCGGCCCAGCGGAAACGAGGTACTTGTGGGTCGGCGATGGGGTGAAGTATTGGGTGAAGTATTATGGCAACTCTCAATGGGTGAAATTGGCAGTGCCAGCTGGTTCTGGGGTCTTTCTTGGGGGGTTCAGAGGTTGCTCTCCAGTACAGAAGGTCTATCAAGTTCTGTAGAGTCAGCTTTAGAAGGCCCTTGCCTTGCGAAGCATGTCATCTCTCTTGCGATGTGGATCTGGAATCTCCAAAATGTATTGGAATCTCTTTTCATGAACTCGCAAACATCCCTCGTTATCGCCCTGTTTTTCGCCCTCCTCGGGAACCTCCTCTCGTCCTGGGCCAGCCGCGCCCGAAGCTGCGCCAGCTCCGCATGACTCGAGTGGCTGGGGCCACGGGCACCGCCCGGAAAGCCACCGAAGTCCATGGGAGCTGTTCTGGTCTACCCGGTTTTTCTCTGGCCAAGACTGGTGGGTTGGCTATTGGTTGGCTTATTATGGATTGGCTTGTTGGTTGGTTGATAAGTTGTTCCTTCTCCACTTTTGCTGGCTGCTTGGTTGGATGATTGAGGAATGTTGAGGATGGTTGGTTGATTTGTGGAGAAAACATGGGTCGGTGGGTTAGATTGTCGTATCTTTTCGAAAGGACTTTCTCAAAAAAAAAATATGTGGTGGCCCTTCGAGCTCCTTCCTGTCCTTGGAGTCTCGACACACTTGCTTCACGCTTCGAAGATCTTGGAAGTCTGTAGAAAGACAGAAAGGATTTCCAAGGTTCGTGATGATCTGCACACATTTTGATAGGCCTGGCCTGGTTCTCTTGACCTGTTCAGATCAATCACAATGATGGATATTCTGGCCTGTAAGCTGGCTCCTTCCGAACCTGAATGGACGAGGATGCGACCGTGTACCTCTGTACTTAGACATTCCGAACATGTCTTCGTGTCCCCAACACGTCACCCAAAAGACAATTTCCGTACGCGTCTTCCATCTGCGCGTCTCTGCACATGTACCAAATGCACCGATGATTGTCCCTTCAATTGTCCACTCAGTTTGCAAAGTGTTGATGCTGTCTGTCTCAACAGGGGGAAAGTTCCTCAAAGCCCGCAAGAACCGCACACTTGTATCGATTATTTTATGTTTGTTGTTTTCATTCATGTGCAAGGTTCCCCCCGGTTGGATCTGGTAAAATCTGAGTAGCGAAGCGAGCGAAGCTGGCGTCGCGTATTAAATCTCCAGCAGAGTCTTTGGTGATGTGGCACAGCCCTTGTCAATCAAAGCATCAACAGTGCCAACATTCTCGCACATCCATTCTCGAGCAGCTGCATGCCTTCAGGTCTCAAATGTACGGGATGGGATGTAAACTGCAGAAAATTCTTCAAGTTGACTGGATGTCTGTTCTTCCTTTGTGATAGGCTAAAGTTCTCTGGTCCACCAATTAAATCATTTCCATCAGGTGACAAAAACCGGCCGTCCGCGGTCTGCATTGAGAATATGCCTTTGGTCGACAGAAAGGATTTTGATGGTTCTCCTCGACTCCTCACCCCAATCGAGAGTCCAACTGTTGCGCACTCCACATGGCACTCTTTTGCACTGCTCAATTCCACACTCAGCGCTCGTGAACTCGTGCGCGGTTCATCCTGCCCAGCGAGTGCTTGTGGATGCTTGCGGATTCTGTCAGCTACACCAGACAGGCATGGGTCATGACACCCCCGTGGTCGACCCCCGAAAATGAGCCTAAATGGACTCCCCAACATGGTCAGGCTATCCTGACAACCTTCAAAACCGTTTTGGCATGACCTGGTTTTGTAGTACAAAAACCATGGTTGTTTCGGGCATGTTTTGAGGCTATCCAATCCATGGTGGGCCACGAATCCGGTATGTCAGGCTTTCAGATCACCCAGTCATCGGTCGCCGGTTTTGCACCCAGTCAACCAGGTAAACGGCTCATCGCCACTTTTCGCCCAGATCGCGGGCACACGCGGCACGTGCCCATCTTTGGCAGTCGTGTGGCACGGGGGCAGTCGTTTGGCCCGGGGGCACGGATGCTTTCTTTGAAGCAACACATCTAGTACCCACAGCTGCAGAATTGGCTCCAGACCTAAGCCGCTCGGGGCATCTTTGATGGAACACTCAACAGTTCCTGCTATTGGTGGACACTGGACACTCCTTGAAATTGTTCGTACCTGGAAACACACCTATGGCATCCCATGGCAGGCTCTTTTCGTTCTATCAGCAACAAAAGCTGTGCCACCTTCCTTTCAGAGTCAACATCAGATTACATATGGTAGTGTATTGGATCCGAAAAGGCCCTCTAACCACCGGTTTTAAGTTTTAAGTTGATTTTGCCTTTTCCGGCCTCCCCGGTCACAACTGGAACTGGATGGAACTGGACCCCATGTCTCATATGTTTAAACTGGATGACTGTGCCACCTTTTCCAGGGATGTCGGTACCAACTAAACCACAGCTGGTGCACCGAACTGAAGCAGCAATCATTTTCTCCGCTGATGCCGCCCGGCGTCACTGTGCGATTTGGCTCGATCAGAGTGACCGGGGATCTCCAGTAAATCCTTGGCGTCTCTCAACAGACTCACAACTGTGGTCTATCTGCCTAGAACTGTCCCAGAGTGTGATGGCCTCATCTTGGGCAACTTCCAGTGTCGAGGGGAAGGCATGCAGGAGTGATGATGGGGTGATAGTCTGACTGTGGGATGTAAAACTTATTGCGGCTCAAAAGCTTGTCAACTTGTGAGTGTACGCAGCTCACACGTCAAGTGGCCCTCCAGGGCTTACAGTGTTGTTACTTGCTTGCCACCAGCGATTATGCAACTCCACTTGGAAGCAACTATTTCACGGTGCCAACTACAAGTCCCAGGGTACAAGCAAACTTCTGACCAAGAAAAGTGTCAAGACCTCTATGCCCAGCCGTACTCTTAAGCACTTTGTACCTATTTGCCAGTCCTTTTTCAATCAAGGAATTGCATTAACATCGTCAATAGTGGTTGACCACCATTTGGGTTTGTATTCGAAGCAAGTTTAGACATTCAGTGACATACAGCAGTCTATGTAATCACAGTGAGCAGCCATGGTGAACTACCACCTCAGTTGGATGTCGAATCTTTGTACGTGTATCTTTGTACCCTTGGGACCATTGGATGCTGAAACAAAAGCATAGGGTTCTTTAGGCCATCCGACAACCGAACCCGCCGCTCCCAAGCGGTCTCGTTCGTGGTGTCAGACAGGGTTCGAAGCCAAAAGAATTGGAAACTGCCGTGCGAAGTGCGGGCGAGAGAATTGGTCGATACATCTCACTAAGGAACCACAGAAGGAACCTGAAAGCTGAATGAAGTAAACCCTGGGAGCACGATGTTTTCCTCAATCATCTGTAGACCACTGGTACTTGGGAACCCTACTGAGCCAGCGAATCCTTCCTCCCCCTTCATCCACTACATCCTTCTGCCATCGATCGCACCACACAAGGCGATGCAATCCTCCGAAGCCTGCAACTCAGGCACCTCCCACGCTTCTCTTTGTTTCTGCGACGACTCCCAGGCGTCTTTTTGCTCCTAAGACAAGATGACCCGTGAGAGTTGGAAAATCTGAGTGGAACCTGGATGAAATTGCGCTTCATCCATTAAAGTCCTCCCGCACCACCTGTGTCAGGTCCTGAGAGAGTAATGTAATGAGTAACGATGAGTTCTGAATTTCAATTTCAGTTCTTTGGGGTATTCCCAGTGGTGCAGGATGTCGTCCATGAACAGTAGTGGGAGGGGCACCTAGTTAAACATGAGGGACATCATGAGGGGCAGGCCGAAGCATTTCTATGCGATCGGCTTCTTTGGTGGGTTTGGGGGAAGTTGGGATTGTAATGGTCAAGAAATCCTGAGCAAACTACGAACCTTAGCCACCACTCAAGTCACTTGATCTCTAATATAGTGAACCCACTCTAGGCAAAATTTGGATTCATGATTGAGCTATGAATCACCATCCAAAGTCAACTAGCAGCTCAAACGAGAAGGGGTCAACATACCCGTTGAAAGTGTCCAAACGCCTGATTCAGTAGCCAACCTCGGGCAAAGACCTCGGAAGCCTTCGTGGTCACCGTCGTGGCAAAAACACCTCCAATGAGTAAACATCTTCCAGTTCTTAGTGCTTGGGATGTGTGTTTGTGTTAATATATAGTAAATACTGGAACTATCCAATAAATTGGGAAAAGTGAATGAACACCACGTGGTTCCTCCGTCGTTTTCAAGCATCACACACCTCCATAGGACCATGATGAACGCCACATCTAGTTACCCTCCATGTAGAAAGACCCCTTACAGCCGAGGTGGCTTTGCTGGACCAGATTTTAACCGATTTTAACATCTTCCTTTGACCCCACTTTGCAACTTAAGGCTGCTTGGATTCCTGGGCAATATCATTCACAACACCTGAGCGCAAAAAAAAAGGTTTGAAAAGCCAAGCCTGGCCCTGATATAGCCCGAGCAAACACCCACATGATACCAATGCACGGCTAATTACGGAACATTTTGACAACTATGTTGTGGAGTCCGGAGTGTTCTTGGAACATGCACTTTCCAGAACCTTTTCTGGGTATCTGCTGAGGAACCTCCTCCCGGATCTCCCGCAAAACCCTCTCCGGAACGTCCTAATCTTCTCTAAGTGTTGCTCTGGACCCTCCTCCAATCTATTGACTGAGGAGGTTGCTGCGGAGAGAAATGTCCAAAACTCACTGGTTGGGGTGGCACGACTTGCCCGGCCCCTCGACCGAACGCCTCCCTCCACCGGCCCTTCACCGTGTATTGCGGTGGGTACGGGGTCCTTCCTCACCTCCCATCCAATCCCTGAAGCCCAATGCTACGGCAGAATAGAGCTTGCTTTGCGTTTAACCATGGGACCATGGGGGCATTCAGTCATCCAGTCTGAAAAGTACACAGCAAGCAACTCCCTGTCGTCCAAGCTGAAGCTACGATCTGTTCACCTGCTCCAAATGACCCTCCTAATGCCTCAGCTAAGCGCTGCACGGGAAATTTCCTGGAAGCTGAAGTCCAAACTCTTGGGAAATTGCATGCCTCGAAGCAAATCTGACGGACAGAGTCAAATCTGTGTCAAAGTGACCCATACCCAAATCAGATCTCGATTTGGGGCAATGAGGTTTAATGAACTCTGATGGTTAAGAAGAAGAGTGTCCACGAGATACCCGGGCACATGCACAAAGTCGTTCATCTGTAGCTTCCTGGAGCAAGAACATCCAACTGGGCTCAAAAAAGCAAAATTCTTAGATGTACTAATTATTCTGGCCATATCCTGTCTATCAATCATGTATATTATATGGAAGTGATGAAGGCTCGGACAACAAAGAGACGCGGCAGCCTCAAGAAGGCTCGAACAGCTCATGCATGATGCTAGCCCCAATCCCAGCCCAAATTATCTGCATGATCTTTTCAATGATCTGTGCCTACTCTCGTAGAGT